GACTCTATAATCTCATAGTCCCTGGCTGGGTACAACACAGCATTAGACACACTGACTCTATAATCTCATAGTCCCTGGCTGGGTACAACACACATCATTAGACACACTGACTCTATAATCTCATAGTCCCTGGCTGGGTACAACACACATCATTAGACACACTGACTCTATAATCTCATAGTCCCTGGCTGGGTACAACACACATCATTAGACACACTGACTCTATAATCTCATAGTCCCTGGCTGGGTACAACACACATCATTAGACACACTGACTCTATAATCTCATAGTCCCTGGCTGGGTACAACACACATCATTAGACACACTGACTCTATAATCTCATAGTCCCTGGCTGGGTACAACACAGCATTAGACACACTGACTCTATAATCTCATAGTCCCTGGCTGGGTACAACACAGCATTAGACACACTGACTCTATAATCTCATAGTCCCTGGCTGGGTACAACACACAATCATTAGACACACTGACTCTATAATCTCATAGTCCCTGGCTGGGTACAACACAGCATTAGACACACTGACTCTATAATCTCATAGTCCCTGGCTGGGTACAACACACATCATTAGACACACTGACTCTATAATCTCATAGTCCCTGGCTGGGTACAACACAGCATTAGACACACTGACTCTATAATCTCATAGTCCCTGGCTGGGTACAACACAGCATTAGACAAACTGACTCTATAATCTCATAGTCCCTGGCTGGGTACAACACAGCATTAGACACACTGACTCTATAATCTCATAGTCCCTGGCTGGGTACAACACAGCATTAGACACACTGACTCTATAATCTCATAGTCCCTGGCTGGGTACAACACAGCATTAGACACACTGACTCTATAATCTCATAGTCCCTGGCTGGGTACAACACATCATTAGACACACTGACTCTATAATCTCATAGTCCCTGGCTGGGTACAACACAGCATTAGACACACTGACTCTATAATCTCATAGTCCCTGGCTGGGTACAACACAGCATTAGACAAACTGACTCTATAATCTCATAGTCCCTGGCTGGGTACAACACAGCATTAGACACACTGACTCTATAATCTCATAGTCCCTGGCTGGGTACAACACAGCATTAGACACACTGACTCTATAATCTCATAGTCCCTGGCTGGGTACAACACAGCATTAGACACACTGACTCTATAATCTCATAGTCCCTGGCTGGGTACAACACATCATTAGACACACTGACTCTATAATCTCATAGTCCCTGGCTGGGTACAACACAGCATTAGACACACTGACTCTATAATCTCATAGTCCCTGGCTGGGTACAACACACATCATTAGACACACTGACTCTATAATCTCATAGTCCCTGGCTGGGTACAACACAGCATTAGACACACTGACTCTATAATCTCATAGTCCCTGGCTGGGTACAACACAGCATTAGACACACTGACTCTATAATCTCATAGTCCCTGGCTGGGTACAACACAGCATTAGACACACTGACTCTATAATCTCATAGTCCCTGGCTGGGTACAACACAGCATTAGACATACTGACTCTATAATCTCATAGTCCCTGGCTGGGTACAACACATCATTAGACACACTGACTCTATAATCTCATAGTCCCTGGCTGGGTACAACACAGCATTAGACACACTGACTCTATAATCTCATAGTCCCTGGCTGGGTACAACACAACGTTAGACACACTGTCTTTATATAAACTGGATTACCGGCAATGGGTGGTATGGCCGTCCGATTGATTGATGTGAAATCAATCTGGTTTTAGCTGATCACTGAAGATCACAGTACAACATGCAATAATGCAATTCCATTCAAATCAGGATTACCAAGGCTGTCCATGGAGTTGCATGCAATGGCTGATTTGTTGAATAAATACAATCATATTGTCAATTTGAAATCACCATGCAAAAAGTTTCAGCAGACATGCCAAGACATAATCCTATTTTTCCCTTGAAATGTACAACATTATGAAACAGTATGATGGCTTTAAATGATATTTAGTTTTCTTCTTAACTTCCCACATATTCTGGAGGGCCGGTGGGTGACCATACTGCAGCAGTACTGTGTCTGATTAGTGGATGTGATCGCTTCCATCCATAACGTGTCAATAGGAGAGACTGGCTGCACTATCTATCTATCTATCTATCTATCTATCTATCTATCTATCTATCTATCTATCTATCTATCTATCTATCTATCTATCTATCTATCTATCTATCTATCTATCTATCTATCTATCTCTCTCTCTGGGCTGGGCAGTGTATATTAATGAACAACACTAGATATCCAGGGTGGATAGAAATCAATCAAAACACTACATGTACTGCTATATTGGCAAATCGAAACAAAATCACAAAAAACACCATCACACAAGTCAAACCATAGGTAGACCTGGGTCACATGGTAAATATTTTCAAATACTTGATTTAGGTTGGATATTGGCATTGTGCGACCACTCCATTGATTCAATTGTACTTGGCACACTAAATCAAGTGTAGCTAAAGTATTTGAAAGTATTTTACATGTATGGTTGACCCTGGTCTGACAACCACAATACAACCAAAAAGCAATCCTCAAGTACAGGGTCGAGACGGACACCATTACCTTCCTCTAGTCCATAGTATTCTGCAGGGCAGTTCATGTGAGGAGAAATCTTTTAGAAGTACATCAACATTGGAGGAACATAATTTTAAATTGTTTAAACTGTATAAAAGATCCCCCTTCCCTTGTCCCTGGTTTGGAGAAACACATGACTAACTCAGAGTGCTTTTCTGGCAAAGGGGAGTGACATTTGTTGCATGCAGAAGTCAGTCAGTGCAAACAAACTGCAGGGAGATGAATACCCTTGGACTACACTGACATTTGTCAGCAGCCTCTGTTGCTGGCTGGCTATGTATGTGTGTGTGTGCGTGCACAAAATATAAATGGCTAGCGTTTCAGGCTATGTTAAATACTTCTCCACTGTTATGATATAAAGTAGACTATGTAGTCGTGTGGACAACACTCTTAGAAAAAAGGGTTCCAAAAGGGTTATTCGGCTGTCCCCATAGGAGAACCCTTTTTGGTTCCAGATAGAACACTTTTTGGTTTCAGGTAGAACCCTTTTGGGTTCTATGTAGACCCTTTCTACCTGAAACCAAAAAGGGTTATTCAAAGGGTTCTCCTATGGTTCTCCTATTCTCCTACGGGGACAGCCGAAGAACCATTTTAGGTTCTAGATAGCACCTTTTTTTTCTAAGAGTGTAGGACAAAGGACAGATGTGTCATGAAAAAGGAAATGTTGAGAGGAAACTGTTTGAATAAGCAGTCAAAGCAGCAGTGACAGCAGAACACACAGTCACAGTCACAATCACAGTCACAGTCACAGTCACAGTCACAGTCACAGTCACAGTCACAATCACAGTCATAGTCACAGTCACAATCACAATCACAGTCACAGTCACAGTCACAATCACAGTCACAGTCATAGCCAGTTCATTCTACTAACAGTGATCCACAGATCCACCTCATGCACTCTGTGTTGGGTATTCCCTGTGTACATATGATTCTAGCTATTTGTGAACTACTCTCTATGAACAGTAATAGTTATAGATGAACATAAAATAACTGACAAACATATATTCCAGTTAAGTGAAGAACAATCCAAATAAAACTGCTATAAAAGTAGTAGACACAAAACTTAACCATGAAAATAAAAGATGAAGAACTGAAAGACACCTAACAACAACTTGACCCCTGTAGCTATGGTGCTTTGAGAGAACTCCAGTCTCAATGACTCCAGGAAGGAATGTGGTAACAACAACCAATCAGAAAGTGGGGCACACTTCTCCAAACTGGGTTAAGGCTGTGCACTAGAGGCCACGATCAAAGGCACTCAGGGTCTGGAGAGAACATCTGGTCTTCCAGGGGAGTTTGGTCTGCAGCTCACCACTGAGAGCCACTCTAAAACCCAGCACAGCTGCCTGTCGCTGCCTCCCTCCTCCTCAGCACATGATCCCTTGCTTACTCCCTGTCTGACAGATGCTACGGTACTCACTGGAGGGCATGGTGTACGTATCCTCCTCATCTACGATCTCTGCATAGTCGTCAGTCTCTGTGGAAATAAGAGAGTGACACACGGTGAGCCCAACAGTTTGAGAGAGAGAGAGAAATAGAGAGGGAGAGACAGAGAGAGAGAGGGAGAGACAGAGAGACAGAGACAGAGAGACAGAGAGAGACACAGAGAGAGAGAGAGAGAAATAGAGAGAGAGAAAGGGAGAGAGACACAGAGAGAGAGAGAGAGAAATAGAGAGAGAGAAAGAGAGAGAGAAATAGAGAAATAGAGAGAGAGAAATAGAGAGAGAGGGGTGAGGATAATGAACAGCAGCATTCTGACTCTAAGCAGGATAGTCCCACATGACACACAAGAGTTAGGCTAGGCATTAAGTTGTTTAACCACCTCTAGACTTGTACTTAACTTACCTTTAGTACAATAAAGTACCTTTTCCAAAAACCCACCATTTCAAAGTTGTTAACCCTTAACAACAACCCGACCCCCCCCCCCCCCTCCTCCACACATACGACAAACAGCCCAGCTCTGTGATATGCCTCCCCGTGCGTTCTCCCACCATGTGTTCCTCAGGTCTGAGCTGTGCTCCAATAGCAGCAGAGGTATTTGAGTGAGGGGAGGAGGGGAGGAGGAGTGAGGGACAACAGTTTTTTCCCCCCAGAGAAACGTCTTCAGGAAAAACAGATTGAGTCATGGGTAACTCCAGAGTCACTGTGTGAGCCTGTCTATCCTGACTGCTCTGCTTTTAAGGAAGAAGCAACAGTTTCCAGGAAAATAGGAATGTTGAGACAGCCCTGCTTTCGGCAGGCTGAGATAAAGAAAAAAAGCTGCTGATAACAGTCAAATGATTTGATTTGACTAATGACTAGTGTTAAAAAGCAGCTGATAACAGTCAAATGATTTGATTTGACTGAGGACTAGTGTTAAAAAGCAGCTGATAACAGTCAAATGATTTGATTTGACTAATGACTAGTGTTAAAAAGCAGCTGATAACAGTCAAATGATTTGATTTGACTGAGGACTAGTGTTAAAAAGCAGCTGATAACAGTCAAATGATTTGATTTGACTAATGACTAGAGTTAAAAAGCAGCTGATAACAGTCAAATGATTTGATTTGACTGAGGACTAGTGTTAAAAAGCTGTGAAATGCTATGATAGTGTGTCATTATTACTGAAAGAAGAAAAGACTCAAGATAAGGGTTACTCAAAAATATCAGAGCACTCTGAAAAGTGTCAGAATGTACCCAAATGGATAGACAGAGTGACAGAATAATATGACCCTTTCTAAACAAAAGGAGGACACCGCAGAACATTGTAGAAGCCCTGTGTTTAATAACACAGATACACAAGCACACACATTAGGAACTGGGAAAAATTAAGGGACAAAAGGTTTAATTTTACCGTCCCCACTTAAATCCCCTGCAAATCCACGTAGGTAGCATGCACAGGTTAGAGAGAGAGAGAGAGTGAGATGAGAGAGAGAGAGAGAGAGAGAGAGGAGAAAAACACAGGTTAGGGCATTTACTGGCCCTCTGAGAGAAAGTTGACAGCAACATAACATGCGTTTAAAGGTCAAAACCAAGTTGCAGCCACTTCTTATTGGCTCTCAGGGGATTCCCCCAGACATTGACAGGTGTGTTGATAGTAAGAGGCTGCCAAGTGAGTAACATACTCAGGTCAAAAGAGACACCTCACTGTAAGTAGGGTCACACACCCACCCACCCACCCACACACCCACACACACACACACACACACACACAAGCAAGCAAATAACAGAGAAACTAAAGGTTTAGGAGAAGAAGGACTAAACGTAACTTCAGAGAGCGTCTCAGTTAGTTGAGCAACATTGGAATGGAAGTCCCGGTGCAGTTTTTGTGCTGAGCTGAATTATTTTGTTACATCATCTGCAGAGATATTTCATTTGATCAGGGTCATACAAAGTCTGCAGAGACATTTCATTTGATCAGGGTCATACAAAGTCCATGACCACTCAGAGAAGAGAGGAAAACAAACACTTCTAAGACACGGTGCCAACTTTCATCTAAACATTCTGCATCAGAACTAGACTTCTCCCCAGTACCATCACGTGCCATCATGATCATATGGGGGGACTCGAGTTTCACACAAGCATCTCTCTATTCTTTCTGAGTGTTCTGCCAGTTTGCTGTGTCAATGGGGCCATATGCACACAGGCCAGTCTGTCTCCTGCTCCACCCTGCTCTACCCTGCTCCATCCTGCTCCATCCACCCTCTCAATCAGCTCTCTATTTGACACTCACCCAGTAGAGTCATTAACATTCTACTGTGATGCGGTCAAGAGACTGGGGGAAGAGCTCTGTGACATTTAAACTGGAGAGATGGGGAGGAGAGGACGGACGGACGGACGGACACACACACACACACACACACACACACACACACACACACACACACACACACACACACACACACACACACACACACACAGTGTTAAGGTGATAGATGAGGTGCTGTGGGGTGAGGATGTATTGCCAGAGCCAGACAGTCCTTGGCTGGCAGGTGAAACGTAACCTTGGTTGTAATTTGTGCCATCGGCCTGATCTGGTCCTAATGGGTGATTCATAGTGATGTTTTACAGAGCTGTCTGATAACAGACTGATGGGTGATTCATAGTGATGTTTTACAGAGCTGTCTGATAACAGACTGATGGGTGATTCATAGTGATGTTTTACAGAGCTGTCTGATAACAGACTGATGGGTGATTCATAGTGATGTTTTACAGAGCTGTCTGATAACAGACTGATGGTTGATTCATAGTGATGTTTTACAGAGCTGTCTGATAACAGACTGGGATCTGTGAGCATCTAGGGCAGACTGCACTAGTATATCAGCTAGATAACCACCAAACCACATCACTCTTCCATTTTATGCCCTTACATAAGAAAAACAGACAATTCAGCAATGTTCTCTGGTCTGCCTCAACCGTGTTTGGTGGATGGGGTCACGTCTAAAAACGTCTTGTTTCTTAACCAACGTTCAGGCTCTGCTGTTCTGATATGCTTGGGACACACCATGTTGTTTGCGGTTTACGTGCTTTCCTTCACACGTGAGACAGTAAACCTTCAACAAAGATAGAAAAATCTCCTCACATTGTTCTGTCATGGTGCAGCAGTCATGGGACTGTGTCACCGGCAGGGTACCCTAATGGGATAATTACTAGGGATGTGTCTAAATGGCACCCTATCCCCTACTGCATATAGTGCACTACTTTTGACCAGATCCCTATGGGCCCTGGTCGAAAGTAGTGCCCTATAAAGGGGGAAAGGGTGCCATTTGGGATGCACCCTAGGCATTGCCAGATAGGAACAGTGGGCAGAAGGAAGACGACAGTAACATGTAATGTAGCTAGCTTGTGCGCAGAGGCACAGCGGTGCTGGTAAGGGGCTTCAACAGTCTACTAGGCTGTCATGAACATTGTGTAGAAATATATATCTCCTTTTACTATTCTACTCATACTAAAAGTGTTCAACTTCACCGGCGCATCAAAGTGCTGTCAATTATCATGAGTATTCTACTGACATCTCTGCATCCTGTCTGTCACCCCTGCATGCAGTAACAAACGAGTGAATTATGGGATAGTTAACATGGCAAATACTGATTTCAGCAAAGGCTTCTGTGTGGAAAGATGTTTTGTTATCATGGCAAAGCCCAACAAGACAACGTATCAACAGCTTCACAGTCCCAGTACAATACCAACCCCTATCTGACACCAAACCTAATCTGACACCAAACCTAATCTGACACCAAACCTAATCTGACACCAAACCCAGGAGATGTGAAAGGAGAAAGAGAAGGTCCTACCTGAGACACATGCAACCCTTGTCCGGACCCCCCCATCCAGACGTTTCTCATGGTTGGAGACCCTGTGGAATAAAGGTTTGAACAGATGAATGCTGTACATTTTCCAGTGAAAGGATAGTTCCTCCAGTCACCAGACAACAGAACAGAACAGACAGACAGACAGACTGGCCTGTCCACACTGTGACACTATGACTGGGCTCTATTATAGACAGTCCCAGGACCATTCCATTCACTGGCAGGGCATGTTTGGCAGGGGTACTGCAGGGGGGGTACAGATAAGTAGGCCCTTCAGCACTTCCAAGAGGATATGGTTAAAGGGGGGGTTGGTGGGTTGGGGGGTCAGAGGGGCGGGGGGGGGAACTCTAAACAGGGTCAGACAAATTCCTCATGATTCAGCCATAAGAGCAGAGCAAGGCTTGTGTTGGTTTTCAGAGCATCTGACTGAAACCTGATCTGCTGTCTGGAAGAAACTTTCCAGATGTGTGTGTGTGTGTGTTGTGTGGTGTGTGTGTGTGGTGTGTGTGTGTGTGGGTGTGTGTGGTGTGTGTGTGTGTGTGTGTGTGTGTTTGTGTGTGGTGTGTGTGTGTGTGTGTGTGTGTGTGTGTGTGTCGTGGTGAGTGAGTGTGGTGAGGAGAGGAGAGAGAGAGAGAGAGAGGAGAGATTTGCGATAGGAGAGATGAGAGAGAGAGAGGGAGAGAGAGAAGGAGATGAAGAGGAGGATGAGCGAGAGAGGAGGAGAGGATGAGATGAGAAGAGGAGAGAGAGAGAGAGAGAGAGCAAAGAAAAGGAGATAGAGAGAGAGATAGAGCGGAGAGGAGAGAGATATGTACTTACTTTGGGGTGGACTTTGGGATTGAAGGTAGCGCTCTCTCTCCCTCTGTTGGTGATTGTTAGAGGCAGTTAGGAGATGTAGGTTTAGCAGTAGAGTTACAGTCCATCAACAGGATCCATTCTAATGCCCACATTCACACATTCATCATTATTAATATAATTTAACACTATGAGACATCAAATATGTAACATTCTTTCATATATGAGCCTTAAGCAGAGAAGAGCCCCTAAAAGCCTATGCCTTAAATGGATGCTTCTTTCTCCCTAGTGAATTCATTCATGTTTTAAAAAGACGGAATTCATTGAGTGAAATTAATGTTAGTGAAAGCTGTTTCCGGGCAATTTGATTTGCTGCGTTCAGCTTTCCAAATGACTGGAGAAATGGAGTGGAGAAATGAAATGGCAGTCCCTCAACAGCTCTATAACTGATCTGATCTAATCTAATCTCATGAAGTCATGTGTTTATTACTGGGCTGATTTACTGGAAAAACATGATGCTAATTACAACATTAATACCAAATCTATAATCTCAAATGAAAATCGGTCACAAAACATATGAGGTTGTGGATGAATGTGGGCTCACTTACTGAATAATGTGTTTGTTTGCTTTTCGTGTTTTGTGTTTGCTTTTCATGTATAGTGTAATTGATGTGTATATAGACGTTATTGTGTAATTGATGTGTATATAGACGTTATTGTGTAATTGATGTGTATATAGACGTTATTGTGTAATTGATGTGTATATAGACGTTATTGTGTAATTGATGTGTATATAGACGTTATTGTGTAATTGATGTGTATATAGACGTTATTGTGTAATTGATGTGTATATAGACGTTATTGTGTAATTGATGTGTATATAGACGTTATTGTGTAATTTATGTGTATATAGATGTTATTGTGTAAGTGATGTGTATATAGATGTGTATAGTGTAATTGTTGTTTATTGATGTGTTTGACAGGTCATCATTGTAAATAAGAATTTGTTCTTAATGGACTTACCTGTATAAATAAAGGTAAAATAAATCCTATTACATCTATCAATCTGTGACACTGCAATCCAGCCTCAGTGTAGTGGAGTCTGGAGCTCTTTTGTCCATTGTCCACAGTACACAGCATAGCAGCATGGGAGTCAGTGTGAACTGTCAGTACACATAGGAAAAAGGGAATATCTGCTCACAGTTTTTCAGACATTCCCCTTTTCTCTATGTGTCGGACCTTATTATTGTCCAGATCCTGTTATTATTTTGGATGTGCCTAAAACCCTCTCCATTCAGTGTAAAGGTGTCAGCAGCAGTGTTAGCGTACCCTTTTGAACGCGGACGATGAAAGACTGGGAGGCTCCGTTGACCAGGCGACAGTATCCGTCTATCAGGTCAGCCATGTTCTCTGCCGTGTTCAGAGACGCTGTGGTCACCGTCAGAGGCTGCAGACACACACAGATACACAGATGGACAGACAGTCAGACAGTGTGACAGTCAGACAGACAGTCAGACAGACAGAGTCAGACAGTCAGTCAGTCAGTCAGTCAGTCAGTCAGACAGTCAGACAGTCAGACAGACAGAGTCCGACAGTCAGACAGACAGACAGCCAGTCAGTCAGACAGTCAGCCAGTCAGACAGACAGACAGTCAGACAGACAGAGTCCGACAGTCAGACAGACAGACAGCCAGTCAGTCAGACAGTCAGCCAGTCAGACAGACAGACAGAGTCAGACAGAGACAGACAGTCAGTCAGACAGCCAGTCAGACAGAGACAGACAGTCAGACAGACAGAGACAGTCAGACAGAGACAGACAGTCAGACAGACAGAGACAGTCAGACAGAGTCAGACAGTCAGACAGACAGAGTCAGACAGTCAGACAGTCAGAGTCAGACACACACACACACACACACACAGAGAAGGCCATACTGTACCTCAGGGGCTCCAGCCACATTGAGCAGCAGCATCCCCTGGCGCACCTTGTCCTCCGTGCTGGAGTACTGGATGGTCTGTACCTGGGTGAAGTTGGCCAGATGGGTTGGCTGAACACACGGACAGAACAGAAAGCACAGAATGAAACATCCATGCTGGTAATCATCTTCCTGGCTAGCCTAAACATCACTGAATGACTCAATAAGACCTGAATTGGGTAGGAAATGCAATTATACAGAATGTACGGAAGAATGTGAATAAAAGGTGAATAAAGGAAAGACTTGATAAATCAGCAGTACTCACAGTTGATCCTTTGTCTGTCAGGTAGCTGATGCCCTCCTCAGGTCCAATAGCAAGCTCCACAGAGATAATCCAACTAGACTAGAAGACAGACAGAGATATGGACACAGAGACAGGCAGGACATACACACAGACAGACAGAGATATGGACACAGAGACAGGCAGGACATACACACAGACAGACAGACACAGAGATAGGCGGGACAGACAGACAGACAGACATATGAAAGAAGCAACAGTGTTTGTCATGCCCAGCAGGTGTCACTGTGAAATGCCATGAAGGCTACTGAGCTGAGCTCTTCCTATCTCGAACACTGCCAGCCAGGGTTTCCCTGATGACAGCCAACGGTTATCTCAGTGGGACAGTGAAGTGTCTATCAGTTGCTACTTACCCCAAGGGCACATTTAAAACATTCCTTGTCGAATCTGTAAATGGGAGACAGGATCTCAAAGAACTTGCGAATGCTCTGTTCATCGTTTAGGTTGGCAAATTGTTTGAAGGTCTGCTGGATCAGTTTCCTTAGTGCTTTAGCCTTGGAGAGGAGAGAGAGAGAAATAAAGAAGGTTAAGGACTCCTACATGTCTTGGTTAAAAGGGTAAGGACTCCTACATGTCTTCGTAAAAAGGGTAAGGACTCCTACATGTCTTGGTTAAAAGGGTAAGGACTCCTACATGTCTTGGTAAAAAGGGTAAGGACTCCTACATGTCTTGGTAAAAAGGGTAAGGACTCCTACATGTCTTGGTTAAAAGGGTAAGGACTCCTACATGTCTTGGTTAAAAGGGTAAGGACTCCTACATGTCTTGGGTTAAAAGGGTTAAGGACTCCTACATGTCTTGGTAAAAAGGGTAAGGACTCCTACATGTCTTGGTAGAAAGGGTAAGGACTCCTACATGTCTTGGTAAAAAGGGTAAGGACTCCTACATGTCTTGGTAGAAAGGGTAAGGACTCCTACATGTCTTGGTATAAAAGGGTAAGGACTCCTACATGTCTTGGTAGAAAGGGTAAGGACTCCTACATGTCTTGGTATAAAAGGGTAAGGACTCCTACATGTCTTGGTAAAAAGAAAGTTACTAACAACAAAGAAAGACTGAGGGTAGGAAAAAGTTAAAATCCTTATCAATTATTAGGCTACACCTACAAATACTGATTACTAAAAAATCATCAACAGAACTAAATTATTATACAGTATGTGTTTGGATTGACTCTCAACATAAAGTCAACTCAAAGCAGTATAATGTAGCTCCCATCCTTCAGGATAAAAAATCCTTAGAATGTTTATTCCTTAGAAGAGTCATTAATCAGCATCCTATCAGATGACTCATAGACACATCCACACCAGGAGCCTCTGACACCACAACCCAATAATGAGAGTCAGGACAGTAAGATCAGCCACATCCTGTGAAACTCTATCTGTCTCTGTCACCCTCTCCTCCCATCACTCCCACTAATTACAAGCATTGCAAAGAAAAATGCCAAACAAATCACAAATATATGCTTTGAAATTCAAAAGGTGTAAAAGACAAATTGCTGAATCTAATCAGATTTTCTAGGATGATAGCACTTCATTTGATCCTTGAGAGCATTTACATTAATCTTAATGGGTAAAAAACAAGACATTATCTAATTATGCAAATGTTAACTTGGAGGAGCATCAAATTATGAACCGCCTAATTGGATAACAACAATCAAGGTAATTAGTCACATGATGAGTTTTGGGATCCTATATGAATGCTCTCCTGTGCACATCTCTAGACAACAAAGTAATCTCTGTCAGTCTGCTCAATTGGTGTACAAAGCCTACTGAGTGAACCATCCATTTTCAGTTGGGTCTCGGTATCATTCATGGTGTTTCATAAATCAAAGCCTGATCCCAGCTAGTCTCAGTTGCTGTGTCTTACACATACAGATGTAGGATCTGGCCAAAATTAGGCTACATGAAAAGTGCAAAACTGTTAATATAAACTTGTGTTATTACTTGTTTTCAGACTTTTAAAAACAACAGAAATGTTTACCACTTTCCCAAAAACATACATAAAAACTTAGTCCACTTCTCTGCTATTTAAATCTGAAATCAGAATATAAATATATTATAGCACTGGGGGAGCACCTAGGCATACAGCTCACCCCAACTCATTAAACTAACCCGCTATAACAACTCACTAACCAAACTACATTAGCGACCCCACTTACTATAGCTAACCCATGGCCTACCTATCTAAAACGTTAACTTTTACTACTGCAATGTACTGCTACTAGTACTTCTGGGCTACATGGTACTACTACTACCTAGTCTCCCACTGAAGGCTACTATCAACTACTTATAAAACAACCACTTCCTCTACTACACCTGCCTACATTCTTCAACACCAACAAACTTCTTCCACTTAGCTGCATCATCATATTTCTCTCTCCAAATAATAGCCTAAACCTCTTATTGAGTGAAACTAGTAGTCTGAGTGTAGTTATTTGTGATGAAATATGTGATCTAACTGCCCCACACTCCAAAGTAATAAGGTTGATATAGTAGTGAGACCTGATATTTTTAATATATTTAACTTGGACTATATTTCACTGCTTCGCTTAAGAACAACGTTTTAAACTTCTTTGACTACCACACATTTTACAATTTGATTTGATTTAAAGTCACAATGCTCTATTACAGGGGTAGGAAACTTTGATTAGGGGTTGGAGGCCACAAAAAAATCTGAACTCATCATGAAGGGCCGCAGTGGCTCGTGGGTCTTAGTACCCTCATCCATACAAACCCATGCAGCCAGAGCCGGCCCTAGCCTTTTGGGGGCCTTAAGTGACATTTTTAAACTTTAGAGTTAATTTCCTGCAATTCTATACATTTTGCCATGCAGCGTAAAGAAAATGTTGCAATTTTTAAGCAAATTCGCTACAGTTCTACACATTTTGCCATGGGGTGGAGAGAAGATTTTGCAATTTTATAATTAACTTCATGCAATTGTACTGACTGTTCCATGTGGCAGAGAGAAAAATGTGCAGTTTTAAAGCAAATTTCCTGCAATCCTACAGTTTGCAATAGGGTGGAGAAAATGTTTAGCAGTTTTTAATACACTGCTCAAAAAAATAAAGGGAACACTTAAACAACACAATGTAACTCCAAGTCAATCACACTTCTGTGAAATCAAACTGTCCACTTAGGAAGCAACACTGATTGACAATACATTTCACATGCTGTTGTGCAAATGGAATAGACAACAGGTGGAAATTATAGGCAATTAGCAAGACACCCCCAATAAAGAAGTGGTTCTGCAGGTGGTGACCACAGACCACTTCTCAGTTCCTATGCTTCCTGGCTGATGTTTTGGTCACTTTTGAATGCTGGCGGTGCTTTCACTCTAGTGGTAGCATGAGACGGAGTCTACAACCCACACAAGTGGCTCAGGTAGTGCAGCTCATCCAGGATGGCACATCAATGCGAGCTGTGGCAAGAAGGTTTGCTGTGTCTGTCAGCGTAGTGTCCAGAGCATGGAGGCGCTACCAGGAGACAGGCCAGTACATCAGGAGACGTGCAGGAGGCCGTAGGAGGGCAACAACCCAGCAGCAGGACCACTACCTCCGCCTTTGTGCAAAGAGGAGCAGGAGGAGCACTGCCAGAGCCCTGCAAAATGACCTCCAGCAGGCAACAAATGTGCATGTGTCTGCTCAAACGGTCAGAAACAGACTCCATGAGGGTGGTATGAGGGCGCGACGTCCACAGGTGGGGGTTGTGCTTACAGCCCAACACCGTGCAGGACGTTTGGCATTTGCCAGAGAACACCAAGATTGGCAAATTCGCCACTGGCGCCCTGTGCTCTTCACAGATGAAAGCAGGTTCACACTGAGCACATGTGACAGACGTGACAGTGTCTGGAGACGCCGTGGAGAACGTTCTGCTGCCTGCAACATCCTCCAGCATGACCGGTTTGGCGGTGGGTCAGTCATAGTGTGGGGTGGCATTTCTTTGGGGGGCCGCACAGCCCTCCATGTGCTCGCCAGAGGTAGCCTGACTGCCATTAGGTACCGAGATGAGATCCTCAGACCCATTGTGAGACCATATGCTGGTGCGGTTGGCCCTGGGTTCCTCCTAATGCAAGACAATGCTAGACCTCATGTCGCTGGAGTGTGTCAGCAGTTCCTGCAAGAGGAAGGCATTGATGCTATGGACTGGCCCGCCCGTTCCCCAGACCTGAATCCATCTGGGACATCATGTCTCGCTCCATCCACCAACGCGATGTTGCACCACAGACTGTCCAGGAGTTGGTGGATGCTTTAGTCCAGGTCTGGGAGGAGATCCCTCAGGAGACCATCCGCCACCTCATCAGGAGCATGCCCAGGCGTTGTAGGGAGGTCATACAGGCACGTGGAGGCCACACACACTACTGAGCCTCATTTTGACTTGTTTTAAGGACATTACATCAAAGTTGGATCAGCCTGTAGTGTGGTTTTCCACTTTAATTTTGAGGGTGACTCCAAATCCAGACCTCCATGGGTTGATACATTTGATTTCCATTGATAATTTTTGTGTGATTTTGTTGTCAGCACATTCAACTATGTAAAGAAAAAAGTATTTAATAAGATTATTTCATTCATTCAGATCTAGGATGTGTTGTTTAAGTGTTCCCTTTATTTTTTTGAGCAGTGTATGATATCTGAGTGAGAGTCACTAACAAAATCAATGGAGGCCCCCCGGTCGGTAATTTCAACCAAGATTACTACAAGTTTAGATAGCTGGCTAGACTAACGTACCAATCTAAAAAAGGTTAGCTGACATTGGCTAATTGAGTGACATAACAAGAGAATACCTGCTGATGCACAACCACATTTTGAAAATGCACCTTGTTTTTTTCGACTATTCTAACTCTCAACAGTAAATTGAGACCCCGATTTTTCTTCTTTCATTTTTGGAAATTGATCCGCGGGCCTACAAAAGCTTCCTAAGACCAACTGACTAGCGTTTTGCAAAGAGCAAGACACACAAACTAATAGTACAGAACAGAAAACATGTGGATTCATATTAATGTGAGCGTAGCACCTATTTCTCAACGCCAGAAATGCATTTAATAGTAACTTAGAGCACCCAAGAAAACATTCCAAAATTACAAAGTCTTAAATACATTTTTATAATATTGTAATGTTGTTCTAAAAGTTGGGTTTGAAGTTTTCTCCAAATCAGCTCTATCTTCGGAAACAATCCCATAACGCCCCGCAGTCAGTGCCACACGGTGTGGAAATACAAAGCCATGCTCACCCTTCGTGTCCTTGTGGGTTTGTCTGTATACAGTAACAAGCTAACAATTGCATTTTTATTCATCATCTCCTTTTTGATAAACTTTTTAGTGTTTAGTGAAGTTTATAGTTTAGTGAAGTTTTTGGCCATGCAATGAAAAATGTCCTAATAAGTTGGATAAGTTTGTGAGAATGAGGCGGGCGAATTGGGCGTCTACTCGTCAATCGGCAGTCTGAGGGGCACATTTCATCCCTGAGAACTTCCACGGCAATCAACAATGGAAGGAGGCCTTTAGC